TTGGTGTGAGTGAATTACAACTTCAGGTAACTACAAATTAGAGGAAATTATATATTCATACACTAAGGAAGAGTTGTGAAGATTATATTAAACCTTCATTTCAACGGTTTCCTTTACTGAGAACAGAGTAGAATGGAAAGCAAAAGCTTGGAACTGCTGCGGGAGCCTATTGATCTTTAGGGCCTTGAACCTGTATTGACTACAGCTTAAATAACCCAATGGATCAGGGACAACACTACAGTCAATAACTGCTCAATGAAGCCTTCATGAACCCACTCCATTGTATGGTCTATGTCACGTGTCTGCCCTCTTTTTTGTGAAGGCTGCAAGAGTGCTCCTTCTTGGATGTTGTATCCAATCGGAGAGTGTGATCCCCTTCTCTTCACCTTTGAGTTTAAGTCACTGGAATGAATGAGCTTGCACCAAGTCAAATAGTTTCCCTTCGTCCAAGCGTGTGTTCTGGAATATTACCTCATTTCTTGCCAGCCAAATGGTCCAGGTGATTGCAACTAGTGGGCTTAGTTGTGGTTTTAGAACTAAAATTGTGACCCTGATTTTGATTGCCAAGATTAAATGAGTTTTACCCTTTTCGATTTCCAAGGAATCCCTGCAAAAGATGACGGCTAAAAGTGACATTAAACTTTCCTACACTCAAAGTAGAAGGATCAATACCATAATTAAAGGAAGTAAGGTGTAATCTTAGGATGAGCTTCTTCACGTATGAGACTCTCTTCATGGGCCACTAGTTTATCATGTAAGTCATTAAAGGAAAGATAGGAGTATTGTGCTCGAAGAGAAGCTGTAGTCTCTTAAAACTCAAGGCCAAGACCATTGAGAATATAAACCATAAGATTATCATCGAGTGGATGATTTATGGTTCCCAATTAGTTAGCAATAGTTTTGAGATTGTATAAATAAGCAACAACAGAACAGCCATCACATCTCATATTTTAGAGATGCTCCTTCAAAGTGAATACCTAAGTGCAAGAATGATTAGCATAGAGCCTTGCCAACGTTTCCCCGACTTGTTGCATTGTGGCAGCAACAGCAGCAATAGCAATATAAAGGGTGATCTTCTTCTAGATGAAGGTGATAAGAGCATGGCGCAGGAGTTGATCTTGACAAGCCCATAAGCTGTACTCTGGCGCTATTGCAACAAGACAAGAGGGTTGATTGTTGAGATAGCCATCAAGTTCATTACCTGTAAGCAAAGAAGTAAATTGAGCCTTCCATGACATGTAGTTAGTGGGCGTTAGCTTCATAGGACACGAGTTGAATTGAATGGAAGTGGGTTTTTTGTGAGGCCAAGATTAAGGACTATTGTAGCAAAATTTGGGGAGGAGTTAGATTCTACAGAGTTTGAGGACTCATCTTGGGAGGCCATGATCAAAACTCGTGAGAGCAAAAAGTGCTCTGATACCACTAATAGGCTAAAAACAAAGGAAGATTCACTACAATGTATCATTACTATCTTTTGTAAACAATATATACAGAGGTAC